GTGTAATGTGTATTAGTGATTTCATGTTGCTCTTGATATAGTAGTTAGGGCAAGCTCAGAATAACAGCCTGTTGACAACAGGCCAGCTGGTGCAGTTTATGACCCTTCCTATTTTTTGGGGGTTGTTTCTTCTTTACAAGTTTCTGTCATGTTATGGTTTTGGTAAGTCAGGGGCTCTATTTATTTTTGTTTCATTTGAATTAAGTTTCGTAGTGAATATAAAACAATATTGCTTTACAGGCTGAGTTAGGACTTTAACGGTCCAAACCAAAGTCTTTAGTGAAGGTTAAATACGATGGAACTTCTCGCAAGTAAGTAATACAGTGAGTTCTTCTCACAATATTTAATAGAAATTTAACATTCAACAAAGTTACATAAATCTTATCTTATACATAAATGCTATTTACAATATAGATGTATTTACAGTATATATATGTGTATAATTTACAAATTTTAACAAGCTCATATTTTATCTTTGTAGGAATCCACAAGTATACTTTTGCTCAATCTGCACACTAAGATAAAGACTAAAAAGCATGTCGTGAAGATATAAATTTGGTGCCATCTCTGGCACCATACCGCAACCAAAGTGGTTGTTGATCAGCAAGATGTGCTGGATGCCTGCACAAGATGTTACCATTTTCTTCAACTTTATAAGCATGGAGGTGATCATCAAATTCCAAAACATCAAAGTCCTGTAAGACAAAATTAAGCTGAGAGTTGCCATAAATAAAAATTGATTCTATTTTTCCAAATTTTGGTGCAGTGTTGTGAGTTATGCCATGGACAACAACACTGTTAATACAATAACGGGTTCCACCGTACTCAACACTTTTGACACAAGACAGAATATCATTTTCCTCAATGTTGAGGATTTGAGAAAACAACTGAAAATATGGGACAATGCTTGCTGGGGAATTGGTTCTAGAGCCAGCTACAAATTGTAAGTCAAAATGATTTTTAGAAAGCAGTTGATAGGCCATTTTGAGTTGATTTTTTTTCATAATTGTCACAATAATATTAACCCTTGATTCTGTACTGTAAGCTGCAATTTTCCCTTCCCGGTTCTTGCTTTCATAACGACTTGTTGAGGTTTGCACAAGGGGGCCTATGGAGCGAATGTATCTCCAGTAATGAAGAAGCAGATGGTGGACTGGTTTGAGATGTTCATCGAATGTAGCAACAAATAATTCATTATGTTCTCTTACTTTGTTTCTTAAAAGTATCTCAGCACCAGGTACAAAGAAAGGACAGTACAAAATATCAGCCAAATCTCGCAAAGTTAAGTAATATTCCCATACGGGCTCTTCAGAAGGTATTAGATGACCAATCATTTCACCTAAATATCTAGTCAAACACAAACTTTCAGAACCAGACAAATTGAATTTTTTTGCTGTAAATCTTTCAGGATTAAGTCTGGAGGTAGAGGGTTTGTTTCCACTCTCATGTGGGCCGTATTGAAATGCAGCAACCTTTTCAATAAAAGTATCATGAGTTAGATATTGCCTTATGTCTATGAGCCAATGAAGTATCAATGGCAACCCATAACCACAGGCTCCCTCTTCAAAGTCATGGAGCAAATCTCCACACACATTTCTAGTCACAAAGAAAGAGTTCAATTCATTAAAAATACATTCCTCTTTTATACCAGTGTGTAGTACAATACCTAGAGCGACATCAGCTTCATAATTTGCCCTATTACGTAAAAGCTGGTCAGTATCCTCTACCTGAAAATGTAATTCATTTTTATGGATTTTGCACACACGACAAGGGTGATTTGCAACAAAACATTCAACAAATCCCAAGATGCCATTAAGACCAAGATTGTCACCTAGAAACAATCCCAGAGCAAAGTACACTCGTACTGTTCTGTCTGGTAAATTAACAAGAATTCCAACGGTTTCTAAGTATTTTAACTCTTCCAGTACTGGCTCCATCACTTTCCTATTACCATAAGCTTTCCGATCATTTGCATAGAACAAAGCTGCAACAAAAATATAGCGAAGGACAGAGAGAAACTCTTTAGGCATACATGGAATCTTATAATATACAGCACTAGTTTTGTCATCACCAGCATGAGAACCTAGACCGTTATTTGGGTCATAGTCATCTGTGTAAAAGAAAAGAGGCAGTACAATTTTATCTTCTGCATGGTAAGGTGCAGATATTTCAGCCCAGAGCTCTCCCTGAATAAAATTAGAAATCACTTCATTTTCAGCGGTAAGGTTTGCAATATTTTCCATAATTTTATCAAATACACCAGGAATTTCCAAAAACAGCTTTAAAGTTGTTCGCATCTTTACAAACTGACCATAAGCTGGCACCATTTCCATATACATCACACCTTTTCGCTGAATCGGTGCAGGTCTACTGTCAATAAAATATTTTTCAGGAGGAATGTATGCTTTAGCATCAGTCAAACAAGAAATACGTTTTGTTTCAGTATCCAGCTCATCAAAAGGACTCTCAAGAATAAGAAACATTGCTTTCAAATCGTCAACTTCCTGTACAATAACTTCATCAAGATCATCAATTTGAGAAAATGTATTCAAAACTTTACGTTTTAACAGAGATGCAAATCCACTTAAAAAGTCTTGAGTGAAACTAACAATTTCTTGTACAGCACACCTTGGAATAGTATCCTTATTGTAAAGTTTTGCTGTAAACATTAAGCCAGATTCATATACTGCTTTAGCAAAGGTGTCATAATAAATTGGTTGGTTATCAACAATGTCATTTTGAAGTATCTGCTCCATTTGGTCCTGCTGGTCCTGACCATTTTCATGAACATCATGAACATTAGGTTCATCTAATGGAGCACCACCAGCGTCACCTGCATGCTTCCTGGATAAGTGCTCTTTAAATTTCCTCAAATCATCAAATAAAATCCCAGCACAAAGCGGAGACTGTCGACAGTAGTAGTGATTAATTACTGCATCACTTGTGTGATACAAACGGAGGTGTTCAACTAGTCCCTCAGGACTCAGTGAATTATTACCACACTCACAAGAAAACACCATTGCAAGGCAAATAAAAAAAAATTATACAGATAAAGATAATTGTTTGGGATGTATATTAATGTAAAGAACACATCACCATATAAACATCAATCTAACAATACTTTAACAAAACAAATATAGCACAGAGATCACCAATACTTAAGAAAGCTGAAAAATTAAATAAGTAATATTCAGCTCTGGGCAGCAAATCAAATAGATTGCAATAACAAGGAACACTCCATTAAGAAGAATATATACTATAACAACATTTTAGAGGAACATTCAACAAAAGCGCAAACCACACAGGTAACACAAGTGATTAGTTGTGGACACAATTTCATAAATATAACAAGAAACTATACCACAATAGTTTTAAACAGCATCTAGAATATCAAACTATAAACTGAAGACATGCATGGAAGACAGCTGAAAATAAATTATCTAGTTGTAAATATGCATGTAGGACAGTTAATATAACAGATTAAATATATTAGATGTATAATCAATAACAAAGTAAACACGAAGACTTTTAACTTCTTATTGTTCCAACTGTGAAATAACATTGTATGATGCTATAACATCATAGGGTACTTCAGCATCCCATTTGGAAGTAATGTCATAAAGCAATCTCTGTATTAACATCCAGGGTCGTACAGCTTCTGAAGGAAAGCTGGCATGAAGGGCCACTGTAGCTTTGAAGCACACATCAACAGCCTTGGAAACAGAATGTAAACGGTACAAAATACCGGATACATC